CATTACTGTTTCTAGATCAAAGAAAACTTCGCAGGATTTTTTACGTTTTCGTTCTCTGCGGAGCGTAGATTGTTTGGGAACCCGTATAGACAAAAATTTTTTGATAGTCGTTTCAGTTAGTGATCGCGCGCTCTTTTTTCAAGGTTCTTCAGAGTATCAAGGAAAAGGACCGCGGTAAGGGTTGTGCAAATACAAGGCATGATCTCGGGCGGGCTTAAACCGCCGACGTTCTGTGTGTGAGACAGATGTGGTAAGGAGTATACCACGGGATCTTTCTTGATATGCGTAGCAATGCGCTTTCTCTGAATGTTTTCCTTGATTCGTTTCTGAATATTATTTGACGCACCATCCTCACCAATTCATGGGATGATCACTATTTCTGTGTCGTAGAGGACTCCGCAACATCTTATGGCATTTTACATTCTATGGCGCTTAATCTTCTATCTCTGAGGGATCCTTTTAATTCTGGAAATTTTTGAACGGAATATAAATCTTTAGAATCTACAAATGCTGAAAAACTCTCCCAAAACCCGTCCGAGTTCAAGAGATCCCGATTTAAGGTGGGCAGCGTAATTTTGGGTACCTTATGCTCCGTTTGTTCATACAGACTTGTATTAGTTTCTGCGTGATTTGAAGCCAGCTTATTTTTTACCTTTTGTTTACCTTGCACCTCTTCAATCGAGTACAAAATTTTGTCTACCGCATCCGTGTCCTTGACTATAACTTCTAAAAGCCCATCATCTTTTTGGGCATACTGCCAGTATACTTCTTCCTCCCTGGACGCTGTCTCTGGTGCGCAATTCTGAACGAAATCGATGTACTTATTATTTTTCTCATTTAATTTATCGCAGCTACTCTGTAATCGTTTTCGCAATTCTTTTAATAAAAACAGGTTTTGTTTTTTCTGATCCATTAACTCCTGAGCCGCCTCTATATCTTCTACTGCTCTCTTTCGAAATTTGGTAAGGACCATACAAATACAAATACAAATCATACCGCCCCTATTGAAACTTAATTTTTATTTTATATTCTTATCTCATAATTGATTCTTAAGAATTTTAAGATAGTCGGTCCTGCGATGGCCGCCACTTAAAGATGTTGTAATTTTGATTGGTCGCGTATTAACTACAACACCTTAAAATGTTTTATTTTAAAGATTTTTCAATTATGATTATTTGAGGACAGCAAGGTTGTAGAATTATGAAAGATAAGAAGAATCGAGAGAGAGGGAGAAATGGGGAAGTTGGTAAAATTAAGACAATTATAGATAGATGAAGAATCAGTGAGAAATTGGCAGAGAAAGAACGAGAAAAAATAATATTTGACACCACAAAGAAATACTGCAAATACTAACACTTTTAAATATACAAACATAAAAAAGCTTCCCTCCTTAACTTGTGGACCCGATAAATTTGTTTTAGACAGCAAATACTAGCGAGAAATAGGATTTTGTTATAGACCAAGCAGCGATTTGTAGTCCGTACAGTTTTTAGCAAGAAAGATTCTCCAGTTTCTGCCTCTTAGCTTGCACTTCGTCTTTTCAATCGTTTTCTGCTAGCGTCAGCCAGATAATCGTTGTTTGCTAATCTTTTTTGTGAACCGTTTATGCTAATCGCCCGACCTGAGTATTATCGCCTTGTTGGCGCCATTTAGAACATTTTAGCTTGATCGGTTTCATTTCCTCCATCTTCGTCACCGCTCTACTATACCTCCTTGTAGCGCCGCAACATTACTCGCGTCTGAGAAGTGTGCTCAATTGATTAAATAAAGTGGGAATGTTAGAACGGTATGATAAAAAAATGAGGGACCATATGTTCGGAAATATTATTCAAAGGATTAGTCAAGAAGCCGAGTCATAATGTGTCCTACTCACCTCGAAAGAGACGACGGAAATGGGGAGAATCTATGACGGTAACCTCCCAGTGTTTCCGTATAACACAGTGGCATTGAGCCAAACCGTTGGAGTTTCTCCAGAAGAAGGCATCTTCGCTAGCAAAAATTTCCACATAATTTTGAGAATGAATCCTCCTATAGTATACCTCTGGAAGCAGAAAAAATGATAAATTTAAAGAGCTAAACGGTTAGTTCTGTTTTTTCAGTGCTGAACTGAATTGCAAGTCTCAAAGGACAAGCATGTGAAGCAACAACCTGGAAAATTTTGGAACTGTGGGGGGAGGGGGAGAGGGTGGAACTTGACAAGTAATTCACTTCTCCAATTTTACCCTTCGTATTTTGACTTAGATTGTACAAGTCAATTAGGTTTGAAAAAATTTTAAGACATCAAATGAAACAAGTTTGTATACAAGCATGAAATGGCGTCTAAGCATCACACACATATGGCTCTTATCGGATCGCAGGCGTTGTATATACCGTCAAAGCTCGGATGACATGCGGTGGGATACGATCAGTCCCACTTAGCCGCGCTAAGGACTATAAGAACTGCAGTCACTTTTTATAGAACTGTAAGCTTTGGCAAATTGTCAAGTCGTGCTGAACTATTGCCAACAGCAACTGGGTTGGAATTTTCCACTTGAAGACGTCACGAACGGATGTTTCATTGAGTCACTCTCGTCACTTGATGTGATGTACATGAATAAATGTTTGGAGATGGCATTTATTTCATTAGTTTGCCTAATAAATTTTCTCGTCTTTTTTGGTGCTTTTTTTGATGGTTTATACTTGTGGCATCTTTTGTCAGTGGTGAACTGGCTCTTAGGTATTTTTTTTTTTTGGTGGATTTTTTTCATCCTTACCACATCTTCACTGGGCTGGGCGTTTTTTGGAGGAGTATGTTGAAATATTTTGAAAAATTCATCAGGTTTTTTTTTTCTTTGAGCACTTACCAGGTGTGTGGTTGCTGGGATCAACCATCTCACTTATTTTCACATGGTACTGCTAATAATTTTATTATTTGAGGCGTTTGCAGAAATCAGGTCCTGTTGCTTCGAGGGTTCTGCTTGCATGGATTTTTCCTTTTCCGTTATCTTTTTTGTTCTGTGGTTTTAGTTTTACAGTGGCTTCTGACCTGGTGCGTGTTTCGAGTATCAAATATGCTTGTATACTTTTTTTTAGGCTGTACTGATTAGGCTGTTTTTTAAATGGAGGAAAAAAAGGAGGACACTGCTTTTAAAAGATCTTACTTTTCGCTTCGGTTTTGGGACGGATCGCCACAGGAAATTAAGCCCGTTGACCCCTCAAAACTTGTTACAATTAGTCAGGTATTACCTTTGAAAGGTTTTTTCTCGTCGAATTTGCCATAATTGTTGCTTGATTTACCCTCTTTTTTTTAAACGCTTTTTTCTTTATTTCTTTTAAATACTTGTGGTAGGTGTAAAAAAGCTGCAGTTTGCTTTTTGATTCTGGAATTTCACTTATCAATTAAAGAGAATGCACAAATCTTTTCTTTATTATTTTTTTTTGAACATTTAGTTGGCCTTCTAATTCTTTTTAGTTTTCCAGCTTCCTTTTTATTCTGAAGATTATCCAACTTCTTACAAATTTGTTCCATGTCCACAGTTACCAATGCAACAGAGTATCTCCAAAGTCAGGCAGTCGGCTACTGACCAGTACGGGTCGTTGAAGGTTGCTCAAATTCTTCTTTTTTATGGTCTATACTCGTTTTATTTCTAAATTTC